CTGCTCTTTCACAGGCATGAAATGGAGAGAATTACTACCTATGTGGCTCTTACTGAGCCACATGAGCCATCCCCAGGTGAATCCTTACCTTTCCAAGCCCTCCATCCCTCCTGCCCCAGTAAATGCTCACTTGGCAAAAGTCTAGAATAGTTTGTTATAGTATATGATTTAGTAATAGGTAGAATTTTTACTTTTACTGTAAATCTAGCATGTCAGACTGGCTGTTGATTGGTAATTATATCAAATTTAATAGCAAGCAGATATTAATGTAGTTAATTTGATATGGCATTAAGGAAAAAAATCCAATATTTAAATACTTGTAATTAAACATAGATGGCTAATGGGACCAGAGCTGCCTCTGACCCATCCTTCTTTGTTTCTCAAAGCCTTTCTTCACCTTATCCTTTCCATTTGAGATCCCTGGCAAAACCTGCTGTGTCATTCATCCTTCAATGTAACACAGTTATTTTTTGCCATTCTTGCTAGTACTGTTGCTGTGAAATCAATAGAAGAATTAAGCAGTTTTTGCAAAGATTTGCCACCAAAAGAATGCCTAATGTGTTCCCAAAATAAAGCTATTAATATTACACTCTAGATTTACTAGAAGATTCTGAACAACTCAGGAAGAACAGACTGATAGCGCTAACAAAGTACTATCAGTCTAGTTGGAAAAAAAACTTGACTGGGTGTAACACTTGGAACAAATATATATGCTTGCAGAAATTCTAGGGCATAATGTTTTCTCAGTGCTGACATGATTTCACAGGTTGGGAGAGGGTGTGCCTTTGCACCTTGTACACTCCTTCCCACAAGAGCTGATCATGTTTTCTCAGCCGTGCTTGCATGCTCCAAAATTAGACTCCAAAATCCCACAGCTAACATAAAATATTTACTGTGCTCATTAGAGAATATATGCTTGGGAAACCCAAAGAAATTTTACTTTGCTTCTTTCTTCAACCAATTTCTTCTTGGGTGAAATAATCCTTGTGTTAGATACGTTATTTTTGTATTCAATAAAAATGAATAAACAGATTTTTTTTTTTGTTATCTTCAATATTTTGTTTTCTGGTAAATCAGATATAGAGTCAGTCTCATATGTGAGGATTTATGAACCAGCATTTAAGAAAGGACTAAAGAGAAATTATGCACTTTGCTATGTTTTTCCAAAGAGATATTGCTGCTGTTACCGTGACAGAATGGGTGGACCTTTAGCTTTAAGTAACTTGTGCAATTTAGGAATCTGGATGATAGAATCATAGAATGGTTTAGGCTGGAAGAGAACTTAAAGACCATCTAGTTCTAAAGAAAGAAAGAATGACATATGTTATCAATCAGTGTTCCAGAAATAGGCTTCTCGCAACATTCATCCATTAAGTCATTTCCTTGAAAAAGTAAAAGGCTCACAAATGAAAAAAAAATCTAGACATTAAATTTCATGTGCTGTCTTTTAGAGTGGGGAGGAAAATAATTTCTAAGGTATGAAAAAGCATGAAAAATTTGCTAAGATTTGTGAAGTCATGTGAAAACAATTATAACAACACAGGCCAAAATGGAAAATGAAGAATGAACCAAAAAAACTTATAAAATTATTCAATTTTACCATCTTTATTCAAGGTCAAATAACTCCTTTTTTTACACAAACAAGTTGAATTGTTTACTGGTTCCTTTCAAATAGATGAAGCTAAAAATTGTCTCTTTTTATTTTTAGATTATGTGTGATAAGTCTTGTGGGGCAGTAACTGTTATACACACTGCAAAACAAACTTGAACTTCTACATAAAGGCAGATGAGGCATGGAGAGTATTGCACTTGACACCCAAATCTTGTATCCCAGACTCATTACCCACGAGTTACATTGCAAAATAAGCTTGAATGCAATCTGGACATTTACAGTACAAATTATCATGTGCCTTTTATTAATCAAATGAAAAATTATCCATTTAACATACATTACTGAAATTACCATTCTATAGGGTGCATGAGATGTACAAATGCCATAAAATTGCTGATGATTATTCTTTTATTCAATTTAACTCATTAGTGAATAGAGGTATTACTATTAAAAATGTTTTGGCCAATCTCAAGGTCCAGCCTCAGGTCAAAAAAGTGTTTGTGAAAACGGCAGAAAGACTTTTTCATCCCACTTATCACACACAAACTCACTTATAGCTTGGTGGAGAAGAAAAAATTAAAAAGAAAAAATAAACTTTGATTAAAATTCTACAAGATGAAAATTATATAGTTAATAAAAAGGAATGAATACCACTCTTGTTTCTAGGGTGAATGCCAGATGAGATCTTCAAAGTTCTTGAAATTTGGGAGTTTAGTCAAAATTTATGATCTAAATTAATGCTGTTAAAGGATGCCTCATATGTATAAGTCGAGTTATTTGATATCCCTCAATTATAGAAACCTTCCTCACCAAGTCCTTCTATTTTCTCTCTTCTGATGAGTTCTTAATTGTTTGAGTGATTTCCATCCTGATAACATGGAAGGTGCACAGAAAATTTATAGTACAGTCAGTCACAGCAGGGAAATAGCAGATCATCCTGCCCGGCTCCTGTACAGCTTTGAGAGTTTGGAGAGAGATTGTAAGGAGGAGCAATTGGACTGTAAACATAGCAAACTGGATCAGAAGACTGGATTAGAAGACAATAGTGATGGGAAGAGGGTGAGAAGGTTTGTGAAATGAGATCTCCTGTAGGAGAAAGGAATGTGAGACCGAGCATTTGATATGAAATGCAAACACTGCTTTGTTATTAACATTTGAAGGCTGACATATGTTGGAATATTGAAATGGGCAGCCTACAGGAGAAAGGCTTTCAACTCTAATATTGAGCAGCAAAATCAGATCTCAGAAACAAGATATAAAAGGCATTTAATAAACAGTATAGATTTGTATTATTTGAAAAGTAATTAAAATATTCTAATTTCTTTCAGAGAAAGTTTATAATTTGATGACTTCTACATGAGAAACAAAAGAGTAACAGATAACCTACATGGGTGAAATCCAGATTTCCCTAGACTCTTAGGCAAGCCTCACCCAAGTGGAATCTGAGCAGATTCAGGGGTCAGTTTGCATGCCACAAGTTTATCAGGGAAACAGGATTTGGTCCCACGTGTAACTTGAACTGACATCAGTGGGAGTTCAGTGGTTGGAAGGGCCACAGATGTGAGCCTTTATCTGTGTAGTTTCCACTATGAGATATGCAGGAACCGGGACACAGATGCTCCAATTTAGTCACAGCCATCATTTCCATCTCACTGCTATAATTTTGGTGGTTCTAGCATCACCTTCTTTCCAAAGGCATCTGATACTATTTCTTTTTGCACAGATATATGTTCTAATTCACTAATAGACAGTATTAACCAGTTTGTTTAAACAAAACAATCTTTGTAAACCAAAACTAATAGTTTCACTGAAACTAGATCCACGTCTGTAGCCATTGACTCCAGTAAGCTTTGGATCAGGCCCTAAAACAGGCATGGGTCAGAGCTAGCTCATATACCAGTCTCAATTCCAGAAACTGTGGAGGATATGGAGACTGAAGTTGCACAGACTTGGTAAATACTTATTACAAAATGGACATCAAATTTTTCAGATCAAATACATTCAGATCAATAATTTTTCAGATCAAACTCCCTGTTTACCTGAGGGAATGTATGTGATCATTTGTAACAGTGCCAAAGTACCTTTGATTTCTAAGTCTTCATTTCTAAGTACCTTCATATGTACATTTTGACCATCTGTTTCAGAGTAGCAAAAAATGCAGCTGAGAAGTTATATTAAAAAATAAAGTTCATTATTGTTACCTTAAAGTAGCTCAATGTTGTAATTTTTCTATGCCAGCATGTTAGTTGCTTTTATACTTTCTTTTTCCAGTGCTATGCATGCTATCAGATTACAATTAAAAATTGCAATTCATTTGTAATTAGCTAAAATGGAGATTTAAAATTCCTCATTAACATAATGGAAATTAATATTAAGTGAAATCCATAGATATTTTTGTTGTTTAGTTTGAGGGGAAAAAAACCAAACCAAACCTAAAACCAAACAACCCAGCTCTAAAGAAGTGAGTATGTTGTTATGCACAAGAATAAGCAGTTTGGCTGTTGGGCATTGAAAGAACCTCACACCTATGGACATATCAACAAAAAAGTACTGTCTTTGTGTGTGGTAATAAACCTTTTGTGTGAACATTTCTGCATGAAAAGGGCTCCTGAGCCACTTTGTGTCATGGTCCAGCACGTGAGGTATATTGTGAGCACCCAAATCAGTTACAGGATGTAAAATGGAGTTCTCATAATCCTCTAGTTTAAAAGTGTGTCTACTGCGGTCTTTAATTTACAAATATTTATCTTTTTCTCTGTATTCTTTTTTAGAATTTAAAATTAAAAAAAAAAAAAAGCAGTCTGTGTCTGGAGAAGAAAACAACTGAACAACTGGAAGTGAATAAAGCTTGATTGGCTTGATTTAACTTTCCCTGAGACAATCCCAGGGCCTAGGTCCTTAAAGAACATTAAAGAGCAACAAGGAAAAGAAACAGAGAAATAGGACAAGAAAGAAGAATTAGAGAAGAAATGTTTATAGCTTACATTTACAGAAGACAGGAAATATCACTACTTTTTTTCTGGTGAGAAACTATTCAGTCACACAGGTGATGTGAGAAAACTCAATCCTCGGTAGTTTAAACTGCATTCATAAAAAAATCAAAATGTTTTCTAAATTTAAGCCAGCCCACCAAATACACTGGTACAAATTCATTCCTAAACATTAATTTATGGAATTGTGTGTATGGACTAACTAGTATGAAGTTCATTGTATATATTTAATTTAACAAAAAATAAGCTTACATGATAATTTATAATCCTCAGTATTAAAGACAAAATTAAAATTATTTTTATGTGATTTTTTTAAGGTGGGGGCTGTAACAATAATGGGTCATTTAAAAAAAATTCTGCTAACCCCTACTACTAATATGTTATCTTTATTTGTCCCAGCACAAGATATATATATTCTCTAACAGAATGGTTATACCACTGCAACTTGTAAACAAATATCACATAATCAGCTGAGAAGAAACAAGTTTAGATTTAGATTTCCTGCCAATAAAACAGTTTGTAGTTTTGGAGGTGCTAATAGAAATCTGCAGCCATGGGTCTTTTATGCATATCTTGGTTCTTGTAAGTCACATTTTTAAAAGTGGTTGTTGAGCCTCTGTACAGTGGATTTGTTTCCTAAAAAGAAAAACCAAACCAAAACAAACAAACAAACAAAAACATATTAAATGGGAGTCACACAATGTTTGTATAGAAGTAATTTATCTTTGATGACTTTAGAATAGCTTTTGGTAGCTCACTTGTGCTCCGAGCCACTGAAATTCAGACTGATTTGAATTCAGGCAGCACAAACCAGCCTGGGCTCAGGAACACTCTTCACATCAGCCTGCCAGATTAAAGTAATGCACATCATCAAACAATACCTCATCAAATGTGTACCATAAAATTTGTGCATCACATCTGGCAGTTAGACAATTACAAAACCACAGAGAGTGTCTCAGCAGTTAGGTGTGACTTGTCATGGTGCTCTTGTCAAATGCAGTGCCTGCTGTGTGCTGGGAGAAGGGCAAGTCTCACCTGAGCTTTTCATCCTGGCCTCTCACCAATCACTTCCTATCCTTTCCTCTTGTGACAGAAAATTAAAATGCTTCTATCAACTGTATCCTTCCCTTCCATCTTAGCATACCTAGTTGTCCTGAAGAATCAAGAAAACATTCTCAGGTGGCCTTGCCTGTAAATTAGTGATTTTTCCCAGGTCAAAAGCTGAAAGGCTGACAGTGCCCATTCTTGGAACAAGTTGCAATCACAGGACTTTGTAGGAGACTGGAGTTGTGTGAACACATTGTCTGTCCTCCTGACACCCGCCAGAACTGCTTACTCAACATGCTTTTTTTGAAAAGATCCTCAGAAGCCCTAAAGCTTTTGCAAAAGAGCAAAAAAGGGCGGAAAAGAAAGAAGAAAAGGGAACATGTGGTGTAAGCTTACATTAGGTGCCCAGAGCTATAGATAGAAAACAAGGCCTGGATTTCTCTGTCCTTTCCTTTACATTTGGGACAGTTCCATTCACTTCTGCTCAGTGGGAGTGGGCTTGGATCATGACAGAGGCCAGGAACAACCTCCCTTTCCTAAACAGCTCTGTTTCTGGGCAGAGGGATAATCATGGATATCACCTTGGATGATCATACAGGCAGACAACAGCATTGTTAGGATTAATGGAAGACTGGCTACTAATTAAAAACTATTAATAAAAAAAACAGTTATCTACACATTCTTACATGTGGAAGAAATTAGATGAAACACTAGATAATTTTAATCCATTAAAGAATCATTATTTTACTTCATAGAATAGTAAATGTGGTGAAAACCTACCAGCAAAATCTATCCATTTAAAATAACAAAATCAAGACTCAGAATTTTAGAGGCAGTTGTGTATCATGTAACCACACTAAATAACCTTGTATAAAATCAATGTATTTCACATACCGTTTGCCATTTAACTTTTGATTTTTCTGCTTCAAATTTGGCCACCTCTTTTCGGTCTTGAAGTGACACCAGTAATTTCCATATGCAAAGTAAAACAATGCCAATGAGAAGGATAGCAAGGGTGACACCCACCACTATCATTGGGATATTTGGATGCTGTGCACAGTCTGTGGAAACAAAAACAGTTATGACTGTGGATAACCAATCAATACATTTTAGGCAATTAAAAACAGTCAAGAGATGTGCTGAGATTCTCATTTGCCATGAGCTGGGCACGCTTTTTCCTTCAAGTTCATGTTATTTTTCTCCTGTTAGCTTCCTAAAGGGTTTATGAAACCAGCTGAAAAATATTGCATTAAAATGTTTTAAAAATTATTTGCTAACTTATTCCTCTGTTTTTTTTTACCATTACAATTAGCAGCTGCTGGATACAGACACAGATTCTGAAGAGAAAAGTCAGAAAATTGATTTTTAGATCTGTTTCAATATAATCATAAAAAAGGGGACTGAATTGACAAAATTATGCATTTTACAATGTTATGGCTGGAGCTCTAGTTCAATTAACTGATATTCTGTGGGTTTCAGAAGAAAATATTCTAGTGATATCTATGTCAGGGTAAAAACACTAATGATATTGATAAAACAGAGGAAACTGCATTACTCCCATGAAAACAATAAGGGAAAAAATTCCATCAGATTTGTTGAAAATATTGGACTGGGCAACTGGAAGGAATTTTGCATTTCAAGTTCTGCAATAAATTTTACAATAAAATATTTCAGAGGGTCAGAATTAAAACTGAAATTTTTGTTTCACCAAAACCTGAAGAAGTTTGATTGTTTTCATATTAGAAAGTACTGTCCATGAATGTTGTGAACACTAATATTTTTTTAAAAGTATGGTTTCAGAACATTAAAAAATTCATTTCAGTCTGGCTTGTCTTCCATGATTGCATTTTACGTTCTGTTTTTGCTTGATGGCCTCAGTTAATTAAATCTGAGGGGCCCTGGTTTGAGCACCAGGCTGGTGTTCTGGCTACTGGTGCCATATTGACTTCAGTTCCATTAATGAAATTGTATTTCTTGAGAATTTCTTAAGGTCTCATCCCAGTTCACATTTTAAGGTCCAGGAGCAGAGCAGGAGATGACAGTGAAACTGGTAATTGTAGTATTGTGGGAGGGCCACTACAGAGAGGTCAATGAACCCATAGAGGTCAACAAAAAGAAGATATTTCTTCTTCTTCTTCTTTTTTTTTTTTTTTTTTTCAAATCTACTTAAAATCCATAATAAACTATTGAATAAAGATAAAATCTTACCTTTAAATTCTTGAATCTTAGGGATTTAGGGATATAGTTTAAGAGGTGTGCTTTTTTGGTACTACCTTTGTTACAAGCACCTTTGTATATATAATTTCAAAGTGAATTATAGTTTTATCACATAATGCAAATTATGTTTGGTGTCATCCTCTTTGAACTGCACAAGCTGTTGAAAAAATTATTTTATTCTTGCAGCCCAAAGATCATTCTGACCATTTTTCATGAAGGCTAAGTATTTCAAGTATTTATGTCACCATTGCATTAAATAAGTACTTGAAGAGCTCTTCGGCTGGGCAGAGAAGAGCTACAAACACAAGGAGGAGATGTGCTGCTTCAAAGAGCTCTGCTGCTAGATGGCTAACCTTGTCTGTGGTTTTAAATCAGATTTTACCCACAAAAATCAATATTCACTGCTTACCTTTCCGTTCTATGCTGTGAATGACTGTCCTTCCCTGTTCATCCACAGACAGTAGAAATGTGGTTATACATTCATTTTCCCCCTGCAAAGAGCAGGAAATGGATTTATCCTCTGAATAATCTGCAGAGGGAAGGAAAAAAAAAATCATCAGATCAAATGAAATTTAACCTTTACTAATCAGAGAGACTGCTGGCAGCCCTGTCTGCAGATAGTAAAGAGTGAAAGACAAAAGCAAAAATACTCTCAGAATTTCTACTTAATTTAATGGCTTTTCTTCCAATCCCAAATTTGTTTAGTTTCTGATTTTTCACTTATATTTTCAAAGAACTGATCTAGATGTTGTCAATCTGCACTGACCATCTACTGCACCTTGACACTTTAGTGTACTGTGAATTTCAATGAATTGGAAGCACTCCCAAAACTCTTAACTGGCAGCTGTCTAGGAAATGCAATAGCCCAAATGATGGAACAAAGTAACCAGTGGAACAAAGTACGTTCCTTTGGTTTGCAGCTACTCCTGTCACCTGTAGATCATGTTTCAGAAGCAGATACACATACATCAAGCAGCTGTGGGTGTTGCTAAAAGGGCTGCCATTCATTTCCTCAAAGGTCACTGTGTGTCCAGTACTGTTACAAGAGTAAATAAAGATTAGGAACAGAAAACTGCCATTCTGAGATTTTTGTAACAGGATTCTGGATGAAGCAAATAAAGTGACCTGAGATGGCAGTCTGACACCATTTATTCATCCCTCCACTTACTGTTGATTGCAGAAAAATATAATCCATTTTTTCCTTCCAGGTTATTCCTAACTGGGGAGCTGAGAAAGATTAATTCAAAGGGAACAGAGAGACAGAATGAAGCTGGCTTTGAGAGACAATATATAGCAAATAAGCAATCAAAAAGTGAGAGTACAAGCACAGAGCCAGAAATGTCATAATTTGGAGTGTAACTATAATATAATATTTTGAGAGATAAAAATACTTCATACCAGTGTGCAATAATATCTCTGGGGCTGAATGTTTATGTTTCCATGTAGTCCATTATTTGAGATATCACTGGAAATCTAGGTATACTTTTCAATATATTTTAGTCAAACTTCATAGGATTTATTTTTTAGAAAAAAAAAAAGAGATTTCTTTAAAATAATTATCACTGACCATTATTTTCTATCCATTCAAAACTCTTAATAAAATTTCATAAGCATTTGTGCTAAAAATCTTAAAGTCCTCAAACTTTAATATGAAGAGTAATTGAATAGAAATCAGACAAGAATACAGCATTTTAAAGAAATCTACACTACATTAAAAAAACATGCTTGCTCCATTTTTTCTTCCCTGTATTGCTTATTATTATAAGGTTTGGTCTTACAGAAATTACTATTAAACACCACAGAAAATATGGAACTATTGACTACCTTTTCTCTGCTTGTTAGAAAAAGAGAACCCTAGCTGGTTGGATTTTAATGGAAACCTGCTTTTGATTTGAGCCTTGTGTTTAACCTGTTGCTGGCCCTTGTGTTATCTACCAAGGGAACAGGCAGCCTAGACCAGCTGATTTAACAAGATTTGATTTTGTTAGAAAGGCCATGAACTGCAGACTTATGGCTCTTGTTGGCATGTCACAGTTCCACCAACACTGTCAAAAGTTTTGCAATGTTTGTACTTTCCCAACTCTTTCAAGCAAGGAGACTCAAAATACTAACTTGCTTACCAAGAGGAAAAAAAAGGATAAGGAGAGTTGTTGGCTATCCTGAAAATGGAGAAAAACTTGCAAGCATATACCAAATATCATCCAGAAGCCAGTAACTGCACATAGATTAGTTATTTTTACATGGTAATTTTTTGTTTAATGTCATAATTTGAAAGCAAGGGAAGCAGAATAATGATTATGTGCAATGATGTAGAAATGAAAGCAAAAATGCCAGTTCATGCTATTCAGAATTCAGGTTATGGTTAGCATTTTCATTTCTCTGATGTTATTTTTATAATGAGGGATCACTAAAGAGAGACTATTGCATATGTTATTTGCAATTCATCAGCATAAAAATTTGCTTAGGTAGGTAAGTTCCTGTAATTTACATCTGGGTAATTTTCTGCATTCTGTAATGAATTGTCAGACTCTTCTGCAGCCTAATTCTGGTAATTTATATTGTATTTGAAGTAACTGGAGTCACACTGGAGGACAAATTGGGTAACAGTGGCAAGCAGGAGACTCAAAGCATGAAAGACTGTTTCTTAGCAGATACATTTATAAAAGATTCAACAACAAAAATGTTGACTGTAAATTTAAATGTCATTATGCCTGGTCGTATTTGCCTTTTCCTCAGCAAAATGTTTTTTTTCAGCAGAGTTCACCTCACTCTGACTCAGAGCAGTCCTGACAGAGGTTCAGTCAGCCTCCAGTGCCCACTTTGCTGCTGCACTGGGAATTTGTGAGGTGTCAGCACTATGGGGTAGGAAAAACTTGGGTTCTCCAAGGAAGGTATAACTGTCCCTGCTGGGCTTGTGGCAGGAGCAGTGTGGTGCCCTGTGGCTGGGGTGCTGGCAGGAGATATCTTTTAGGAATTTTGGTTCCTCTTGAGTACTGAGAAGAGCAACAAGAGCTCCTCCTACACCTATGTGGCAAAGGGGAAATTAGCCTAATTTAAATGTTCAAGTATTGGGAGTGAAGAAAAATAGAAAGTTGGAAGTGGTGCCTGCTGTGGAGGTAAGCCCAGCAGATGTGAAGCCATCAGCACCTGCAGAGCTGCTGGACACCCCAAGCCCTGGGAGAATCCTGGGCTGACCTGACCTGCTGGTGGGGAGCAGGAGAAGCCCCTGGCAAACCCAGAACCAAAGCAGGGAGGTGAAAGGCATGACTCAGGGCACTCCCAGGAAACAGAAAAATGTAAAGCCCATGCTTTTTTGTTGCTTCACACTTCCAGTCATTGTGTTGCAACATCCATGTGCAAAAGAGAAACAAAATTTTTGAAGTGGTGATGTTTTATTTAACCTAGAGCTTTTACTTTTTTCTTCCCCCAAAAGTCCTGAAGCATTAAAGAAATTAAAATATAAACCAGAAAAAGGTATACTACCCCATGCAGTTGTTCAATATGTGGTGTGCTAGTTATACCACATTCAGATTGGGAGTTTTTATTCAGATATTAGTTTTTATTCAATGATTCTATTTTAGCTATTGTTTTAAAGGTTATTTTTTTTTCTTTCAGGACTTCTTGATGAGGCTACCCAAGAATTTCAGATGAAACAGTTTGCAACAGCCGCTATTTTTTTTTTTTTTTTGAGGCATCTGGATGGGACCATGAAGGTTGCAGTAACTACTGCAAATACATTTTAAATCTGAAATAGTAGCTGACTTTAACTGCTGTAAATAAATTTTAAATCTAAAGAGGTCCCAATCAGGGAAGCACAGAACATGAAAAAAAGGAAATATGCAGAAATAGGAGATGATATTGTCATGTTCATATTCCTGTGACCTCTATTATGAACAGAACCATATAAATGGCTGTTTCTGCTCTTGATTAGCATTCATTATATTTAAAAGTATAATGGTTTTTATATTCCTAGCTACAAATATCTTCCATCTTACAAAAGCAACCTGAAGACTTTACCAACTGAAGAGATACAAGTGCTTATATGTCTTTTAAGCCTGTAAAGGCTTTTATATTTATAAATTTATACTGAAGTATTGTCATTAAAAACAAAAGGTGTAACCTTGCTGGAAGGATATACATCGGTGACATTTCTGCATGCTCACAGCTCTGGATAGGCTTCCAAGAGCTTGCAGATACAAACCTTAGACATGCACACATGGATGAATGAGGATTCATCCTCATTCTTACATTTATCTTATTTGATGCTTATGGCTACATCTGTGATGTGGATATAACTAGCCTATGTCCTGCCTTACTTAAAAATTGCCTGTGCCATAGGGCTGGGACTAGAATTGCCACTAGAGGCTGCCTGCTGAGCAGGCACCTTCCTTTAAAGGAAAAAAAAAAATGTGCTTTTTTGATTTAAAGGTTTGTTTTAGTTATTTTTGATTGTGGTGGGGCTTGTTGGGTTTTTTCCTGATAGTACTATTTTACTCAAGATCAATTCCTATTCCAGAAATTTCCATCGATGCAGAGCGCTTTTGAATTAAAGCAAAGAGCTGAAAGATGCTCCTGGCCTTTTAGAATAGAAGAAATGTCTTTGCCACTGGTTAAAGGGCTGTGTTTAATCACCAGCTGTAATCAAGAATCTGCCTAAGGACTGGAGTTGCGTTTTGCATTTGTAAGACTGAAGAAGCCCTGCTGGAACTCATGGTACAGGCATAACTTAAACTCAGGAGCTTTCATCACTGATTTGCAGGGACTGGTATCTATGAAATTCTGTACTTTCCTGCATAAACTACTTAGAATGATCCAGTGAGTTAATTACCTGGAAGGGTTACACCAGCCCTGTTCTGCATTTCCTACTTGCCTCAGAAGAGCCATAGGCAGACAGTAATCCCCTTATCAACCATAACATAATTCCACAACAGAAAAACAAGGCTACTTTCAAATATAAAATTACTGAAAATGGAACCTCCTGCTAATCACTCACACACAAGAAAGGAAGATAGAGTATACCAACCCTTTGCCACACTGACAGTTGCATCAACCAATTTGCATTTTTCACTGCAATCTCCCAGTGACTTGTCATCAGAAGCCAAGTGACATTCTACACAGCTCCTGTGGAAAATAATTCAGCAGCTCATCAATCTCTGCCTGCCACAAAGCAACATTACAAAAGCCAGTATATATGCTTCTGCATTTTAAAAAGCAGAAAAAAAAAAAAAAAAATGCTATGGATACAGTTCTCAGGAATATGATAGGTACTGCCACAAAAAAAAAAAAAAAAANGTGAGAATAGTTGAAATGACCAATTCTAAAGACATTGAGGTCAGTGCAGAAGGCGGGGGAGGAGGTACTTCCCATTTTTTTTATTTCCCATTATCCTACTCTGACTCTGTTTGGTAACAAATCAGTTAATTTCCCCAGGTCTCTTTTGGCCATGACTGTAACAGGTGAGGGAACTCTCCCTGGCCTCTTCTCTGGGCCCATGAACTTTTTGTTGTATTTTCCTTGGCCAGCTGAGGAAGGGAGTATAGCTTTGGTATATACCTGATGTCTAGTCAAGATCAAACCATCACAGTTGCTTTCAATACAAGTTAATTTACTTCTAATAACCAATAGTAGAAATAACAAAGAAAAATATGGTACAAAAGAAGAAAAAAATTCCACCTAAAAAACCCAAAACAAGCAGGAAAAAAAAATCCTACATACTAACGACTTCCCAAATCTACTGGAAAAAAAAAAAAAAAAAATCCTAACAAAACCAAAGAAGAAAAAAATCCCACCTGAATAAAGGTATTGTGGATAAGCTGTCTTGTCTCTATTCTCTCCCAGTTTGTTAGCTACCAGACAGAATCCCAGGCAACATTATTCATGTAGGTCTATCAGACATGTGGTTACTCACATGTAATATTCCTCTTCAAAAATTAAAAAAATAAATATTCTGAACACTAAATATTCTCACCCTACATACCAGCTGAAGGAATGCCTATCAGATGAACAATATCTGAAACTGACTTCAAAGAGATCAAGCTGAGGCACCTACGATGAGTTTGCCTTTGTTGCAAGTCTATTGAATAATGCATTAAAACACTTTCCAGGTGTCTCAACAGTTGTCTCTTGAATATGGTTACTTGACTCAGGAATTACTCAGATCCTATTTATACTGATGAAACTTATAGGAAAATTATTTTTTATTCAGTGGTGGAATGATTGAAATACTCTTTTAAAACACAGAGTCTAGACCAATTCCTTTAGAAATCTCCCTGTAAATTCAATGAGGATTTTAATAAATCCAAGGTTTACAAATAGAAAATAAAATAACAAACAAAATTCATACATGAACATTTCTGATGGAAAATATGTTCGTTAATTTTTCACAGATAGTTTCAGCCAAATTGAGTGGCTGAGACTCTGAGAAGCAGCCTGAAGGACTGACTTCATTAAAAAAAAAAAGAGAAAGAAAGAAGAGGAGAGAAGAGGTGAGGAAAAAGAAAAGGATAAAAGAAAAAGGAGGACTTCAACAAAACATAAAAAAAACCCCTGGCTATCTCCTGTTGCATTGAGTTACATATATCCATGGGAATAAGCTGAGGCTGCTGAGTTTATCTTCAGGGCATGGAGGTGACCTTATCCCTTGCTCTGGAAATGGTGAATAGTAAAAGTGAGTGGGTAATGGGATAGCCTCTATCTCATGGAGATAAATTCAGTGCTGATGGTGTTTTTGTCATATTCACCACGTTTCTCATGCTACACTATCTTTCTCAGCTGCCTTGCCATTGACCTCCACCCCCTGGTCTTTTAGCTCTCTCAGTTACCCTACCAGGTATTCCCAGTGTTCTCTCTCTCTTGGCTTTTTGTGCCCTGCATTTCAGCAAGGGAAGACACTGAAACAGAAAGAAAAGATCCAACACTGCATACAATATACATGTTTAAATGGGTTAATGTAATGCCTATTATGTAACCTTATATTTCTTATTCTTTGCCAGATTGGGCAGAGCAAAGCAGCAGCATTGTCCTTTTTGTTTAGAGCAGTTGCATGCAGAAATTCTCTTTGAACATACTGAGAGGCTCAGTTTTCTTAGGGCAAATTTAGCACTAACAGAAAGAGATTGATGAATTAATCACATTATAGAATAGCTTTTCACTCAGCTACACTGTAGACTGCAATGACAGGTATGAAAATACAGTGTTGGAGAGAAATGGGTCTCAACTCTGAATAAGGAGACAAGACATCGTCATGAACCATGCAACCTAAACTGCTCAGAACTCAGAAAACAAAGCCAGAGTCATTAATAATGTGTGTTCTGTGAAGTCTAATCCAACTGCTCGCTTAATTTCTGCTGAAGATTGCTCCATTTGGACTGTAGCCCTACAAGAGCTCATGCAATACAAGCATGAGCAAAGGTGTACTTAGAGTGGTCATCTTCACAACCTGTGTATTTTTGGTTGCTTTTCCTGTCATGCACCATAGCAGACACCTTGCATCACAGCAGGAAAGCTGCATAAATTGAGTATGCTCAGTGGACAGAAGACATTTCACCATTTACAATCAATATACCATCATCTTATACATGACCTACAGCTACCCAGTTATTCATTCCCAGACTATTATCTAGTTTATTATAGTTACACCTTTTAATTTAGCCAAGCTTAACTGAATTTGGACTATGAATTTGGGAATGTGTGAAGCTTGAGTGTACAACACGACCTTACTTATTCACATGTATAAGAATGGTAATACAAATGCCAAATTTTTCTGTGAGGCCATAAAAGTGTCAGATAAGACCACCATCCTGATTAGTTGTACAGCCAGGGACAGCAATGAAAGCGTAAAGTTTTACCTGTTCTGCTTGCATGCAGCTGACTTAATTGTTTCACATAAAGTCCTTTTGTACAAGAGTAATGATCATGTATGGTTGATATAAGAGTTGTGACTACCCACCTCAAAGGACAAAGAAGCTCTTGGGCTCTGGTCTGTAAATCCAGTTTACAGACATGGCAGTAAACACACTGCTGAGGCAGTATAAGAAACAGATACCTGGATGACATAAACATCAGAGGTTTAAAGCCACCACATTACCATCTGGAGCTGCAGGGGTCACCGCAGAGAGGGCATTTTTCACATGTTTGGCCCGAAGCCCCTGGATGGGTGCAAGCACATGTCCCACAGATGCATTCACCTCTCCCACTGCACAGTGTCCCATCCTCAGCAATGCAGGTGCTGGTATCAGTTGTGCAATTACAGTATTCACCAGTCCATCCACTGTAGCACCTGCACTCCCCACAGTCACAGTCACCATTGCCTGGAAAAACATTTATTATACTTTAAATCAGTCACTAATAATTAAAAAAGAATCTGAAGAATGATTTTAAAGTTATTCTATTTAACAGAAAATATTTTGCTGTCTCCAACTCTTCTTCCTAACATCTTTCTTTCTCTCCCAGAATCTTATATTTTAAGTCAGAGGATCAGATTTTTGCTTATCCTGGCTGTAAGCCAGCACAGCTCCATTCTCTTACTGGAGTCCTCAGTGTAGATCTCGTCTCCTGGCAGTGCACGACCTAATTTGTAAATACTTCCAATTTATAATGGCATAGCTGAAGCTATTTTTCAGCCTAAAGACCATTCATAACTAGTAATTCTTTATCCTGAGTTGACTGTGACGGGACACATGATGCAAACACGAGGGCCGTACCCGCGCACTGCAGGCCGCGGTGCCTGACGCAGGAGAAGTCGTTGCACTCGCAGCGGGGCCCGTAGACCTTCCCGTAGGGGGACGGGTGGCACAGGCACTGCCCGCAGAGGCAGTCGCCTCTCCCGCTGCAGGAGCTGTGCTCGGCCGGGCCCCTGCAGGAGCTGGCACCGAGGGAGCTCTCGTGGCACTCGCAGCGCGGCCCCACGTAGCCGGGGCTGCACACGCACACCCCGCACTCCAGGGAGCCTTTGCCTTGGCTGCACTTCGGGCTCTTCTTCTCGGCCTTGGCCTGGCAGTTACAGCTGCAGAGGGGATGAATTTCCATCTCCAGCATGTCGCTGAGCCCCACAGGTTTTATCTTGATAAGCCTTCTGGGTTTGTCACAAGAAGCGAGACTAACAGTCACATTGAAAGAGACCTGGAAGAGAGAATGGGGCTGCTGGGAGCACAGAGAACTCTGCAAGGTGCTTGGGAAGCGCATGCAGAGGACAGAGCAAGAGGGTCATAGATACTGACTGCTTTTTGGTGACTTGTCTGGAGGAAGATCATTTAATAAAGAGCAAACTCTAACTTGCTGTCCTAAATTATATGAACTTCATGTCTTTGGGGAATACGTTCTTCACTTACCGTATCTCCCACTTTCACATGAGAGCATTTCCTCTGATGTGGAAAAAAGGTCCCATTGTTACAGATGGCTGTGAAGGAGAGATTGAGCCCTTCTGTCTCTCCCAGGATCTCCAATTCAACCTCAGACCTCAGCTCCTTCAAGGAAAAAAATGTGAGATGAATGGAGTGATAACACAGCCGTGTGCTGCCACTGCTCCACCTCTGTGAAATGTGGACCGTAATTTATCCTGACTTACACAGGAGCACACTCATGCTTCGGCACTTTGTTTACAGAGCTCTCTGTTGCACGAAAAAGGGGGAACAAGCAAAATAATGCAAATGCCAGCAGACCCAGCTTTCAGTGGAAAGTAATGGTGGTATCACTTTAATATCTGCTATCACAGGGCTAATTTCCTGCCCTTCCAGGAGAACAAATTAAATGTTTTATTAAATCACCTTTCATAACTCTGCTGACTGATGTAGGTTTTAGGTCTGGACTTTCTGAGAAGTGGATTTGCATCCCTGATTGTATTGCTAGGTCTGGGCTTTTCCTGATTAGCCAAACTGTGTCAATATTGCTCCCTCCCTTCCTTTCTTCTTACAATGGAAATTCCTGCTTCATGAGTTGTTTGTGCTATTTTAACCTGTATTCAACAACATCCCCATTATTTAAATCAATTTGTCAATCAAACTTCCATTTTGTGAGTCACAAACTGGCTTTCTGAAATTGCTCATACTAGGTTATCTACATTTTAAGTCTTTAAAATATTTTATAGCAGCTTTGCTTACATAACCTTAATACAAAGCCTGTCACAGGCCATGGGGAAATTCCCTATGATTTCATTAGTCTGTTAATCCAGTAAATGGAATTTTTCAAAAGTACCTCAGCAACTGCTGAGAAAACATCTCACTGACTTGACTTTGTGCTCATGGAAGTTTAATTGCTTGCAAAATACCCCCTGCTATTCAATCAGAGCACAGAGAACTTGCCGACCTTACTTCAGTGAGTCATTCTACTCAAGGTAGCAGGATGACTCAATGGAGTAAAGGTCTGGTGGGGTAAATCAAAGTAAAAATATAATAGGTAGAAACCTGCATAAACAACTCCCTGTCCTATGTACATGTTGTGGATTCCTAGGAAATTTGTCTTAAGGTTATAAAATCACGCCCTGGGCATCAGGTTTGTCATCCTGGTAACTTTGGATATGCCCAAATTTCCATTTTCCTTTGATTGTAGTTAGGTGCTTGTGTCACTATTGAAACAATGCAGAGTTGTCAATAATAATTTGTTTGGCCTCTCCCAAAAGGACCCAAACCAGAAAATCTCTGGGTAAAGCTGTGACTGTGGGCATGTGCTTATATTGCAGGATGTATGACTAGTAGTCCCTCTTCCACTAGCTGCAAAATTACAAGGTACAAACAGAGTGCAACTGTGAGAGAAAATTAAATGCTGCTGAACTCCAGATTGTAATATTTTTAATTTTGGAGTCTGTATTGGGTCATTTGAATGTACCTTGCTGATGTGAGAGATCAAGTTATGCAGCTTACAGCACTGAAAAGAAACACAAACTGTGATAAATTCAAGGTTTTTAGGTCCTAATATATATGAGTACTTCTAGTGATGTCTTAAAGCTACTAAGCTATCTAGCCATAGCTTGAGGACAAATATCAGACAGTTAATAGCAAATAGCAGCTTTAAGCCATTCACAGAGAAACATTTGTGGTTGAAAATTTTTCTGAATGGAACAACAGATGAAGAACTGCTAAATACTTGTGCCCTTGTGTTGCCAGTCCTTTCTAATACATTATTTCTTTGTTCTCATTTTTGTGTAAGTGCAGGGATTAAAACCTGGGGGAAAAAAGGTAATTTTTCTGAAATTTTAAATTCTTGGAATGGCTTTAATCAAATGGCCTGCTATCTGTCATAAAGCATTTTAGCCTACAGCTCTGCAACACAAAGTTGTGCAGAATTCAATGCTAAACAAAGCAGGCAGAAATATGCTTACAGAAGAAAATGAACCATACTTGGAAAGAACATAGAACTTCTTACAACAAATATTTTGACAGCTCAGACTTTCTTAACTTGCCTACTTCCTCTCTGAAGCTTTTATATGGCAACACATGGTGAATGGCATTAGCAAATCTTGTGTTTGCACAGCAAGTAAACACTCAAAAATACTTTAAAAGTGTTAAAAGATTTAGCCTAACTCTACTTCCAGGGGGCAAAAAGTTATTTATTCCTTTTCTTGTGAGTGGAGAAATAAAGACACAGGGCATTGAATTACACTTCTGAGAGTATAATGAAAAGTTTCTAACAAAAGTAGCATTAGTTCTGCTTTGCATGTGATTTTCAACTGTACGTCTTCTGTCATTTCCTTCTTCACAAACGAAAAAAATTCAGATACCTTTACTCCTGTCAAATAAAGGGGTTTATAGTGTTTCCTTCTTGGAAGATTTTTCAATCACAAAACAATAAGATTGTTAACCTTTAAGGTTAAGTGTAATAAAATGGACTTTAGGAAATTTTGAGTGTGACATGTTGCTACTTGCACACTTCTTACATCTTGAAAGAAACGTAGGCTTTTAAGAACGTACGTGCAGCTCTGGTGTGTGGTCCAGACATGCTGTGCCTGGATGAGGTTGTGACAAGTCATGGCCCAAAGGCAGGAGCACCATTCCTGCAGTCACCTCCCTGCACTGCTGCGGGGCAGCAAGCACAGAGCTCAGAGCTCCTCCAAACCATGCCCATGGAACAGATGAGAACAGAACCAGCCAAAACAGCTCAGGAGATGCATCGTGGGCACCACTGCCAGCTCTGGGGCCTGCTCTGCTCAAAGCATGCAGCAGCTAAAAAGCCAACAGAACCAGGAGGCTGAGCACAAGGCAGAGGACGTGACTGTGCCTTTGTAGAAACCTTAGTGTGGTCTCACTGTGTACTGCAAGCTCTGGTGGGCTCCACGCCTCAGGAGCACTCATGAGAGTCAGGCAGGGTAAAGAGATAGATAAAATTACCAAGGGGATGGAGCAGCCAAGGAGAGACTTAAAAGACTCTAATTTGGAGAGAAGATTGCTGTGTGGAAGGTGTCTCAGTGACACAATAAAATGAAATTATGAAGACACAAAGATAAGGTGAATGCAGAGCTGTTATTCACAACAGAGCTGTTATTCTCTGATGGATTGTATGTTCCACAACTCAGGAACTAAGGTGCATTCAGAAGAAAATGTAAAGCATTAGAAGTAGGTTAAATAGGAATAAGAAAACTGTGCCTTGACACAGTGGAACTGAACCTCTTATTGTCATAGAAGGCAACAGAAGCCAAAGACAAAAATATCAGGCTCAAAAAGGAGTGTAGGGAAAAAAATCATGGGTCATAGAAACATAAGCAGATGTTAAGGAGAGGAGGCAAAGATTCACTTCCTCACATTTTCAATATTCCAGTGAGGCAACTTATGTTACAGCAAAAGCACCAGGACACAGCACTGGGACAATTTTTTGTGTTTTTTCCATTACTTACTGACAACAAAATGGTATTTTAGCTATTAAATGTAGGAACCTGTGTCTATACATTAGACTGCCAGCTTGCAGAAATGCTGATAGGAACCAGATGTGACTAGCAGCAGACTGGAGTCCAGGAGTGAAATTCTACTGCCACTCAAAATTTAGCAATCTTTGCTCATAAGAAAATTTCCTCATCTTTATTTATTACAATTTGTATACTCCCAAGATTAACCCTGAAGTTCTCTCCTCATATAATTTTTCATAAAATGGAAAAACTCGTGGTATTTTGCATTCATTTAAGTAAGTCATAATTCAGCAATTGTATTGCCTTCATTGCTTTTGTAAGAGTTAGAAGAATTTGGTTTCCTTCCTATCACTGAGACCAAAGTAATTTTGTCACAGTAATGACTATCTTATTCAGGTGATAGAAAGAAGAGCAGAAAAAAAAGTAAGAAAATAAACAGAAGCTATTTGCAAAGGGGCATTTGTCATTGTAGACAACTGGTAGAGCAAGTTTTTAATAAAAATGGGCTGAGACAGAACAGAGAAATCTATGAAGTATCAGTGTATTTGTAAATGGATGTATCTGTGCAGAGATCTGTACAGCTCCTCTGACAGGATGCATTTTACAAACAAAGCTCTCAAGAGCAGTGCTGTATTTATGTTCTTGACATAATTAAAATATTTCTTTGTATCACTTAAACAAACCTGTTCAAGTCCTGGCATTACCTAAACAAACCTCTGTTGGCTCCTGTATTGCTCTTTTTGAAAACCTCCAAACAGACTCACAGAGGCAGCATCAAATTGCTAAAGCAGAGAAGAGCACTTAGCACAGAATAGTGTTTTTTCCCCCAGATATTCTTGCAAAGCAGCTATTTGTCTGCTCTGGTGGCAGCTACCAAAAGGGAGAGACGTGAGTCCCTGTTGAGATGTGGAACTGAGAGACCTGAATATTAAGGAAGCATTAAGAGTAGGTGTAAAATACAAGAATATGAAGAAGGCAATGCAGATGACACACTGATATAAATTCAGCATTCCAGCAGAACTAAGGATTGACAGAAGGTGATAGGAATTTTGTTTCTGTGCTTACTTAATCCTCAGAGTGAACACTTTTCCTGTTAAGGTCAGCACTTAGCATAAAAAATTATATCATCATTCAGTTTCATAAAAGGAATCAGTTCATAAAAGGAATCAAAGACACATCTTTTTACCAAACTGCAAACCAAAGTCAAACATGTAAACATGAAGGAAGAAGCTGCATTGTACCCATCTTACCTGATATGCAGCAATGATCAACTGGAGAATATTTCCAGAATCCTTCTGTAGTCGTCCAACGGTAGCACCAGGAATAAGCTTTGCATAATTCTGGAAATATAAAAAATGAATTTAAAGCACAACAAAAGTCTAGGTGACAAGGAGCTACCATCTAATAAAACCCCAAACCCATGCAAAGAAAAAAACAAACAACAAAACCACACACAAAAAAAAAACCCAACCAAAAAAAAAAACCAAAAAACCAAAAAAAAAAAAACCAAAAAAAAAAACAAACAAAAATGAAGGTGCTGACAACAAAATCAAGTAGATTGAAGCCAAGTGAAATAAATAACACTAACATTTTCAAGGATTCTTGAAGTCTCCATTGCACGTGTCTTAATGAAAATGTCAGATGGAGAAGAACTGGTTTCATTTAAAATTCATTGAACATATATTTTTAAATCACCTCTGTGTGACTGAAAGTTTGATGCTATAGTATCCTTCAAGTTCTAATTTTTCAAATTTAGAGGGAAAATATGTTTAATCAACAGTTGTACTTCTTTTTAACAAAAATATCCAGAAACAGATTCAGCTGCTCTTCTGTTGTTGCACTGCTCAAGTGTCTTGGACCCTACATTCAGCAATCAGCCACTTTTTTATCTTTGCACATGTATCTCAGAGCTCTTTAGCTCTGATGGATTGTATGTTGAATTTCTGTGAATAATACAGTACCAATTTAGCAATTTATTTCAGTGATAAGTTCTCTTTTTACATTAAATTGCATGGTGACACTAACACAATAACTGACAGCTAAATTTTAAATATTGTAATGAAAAATTGCTTTACCTAATTGTTAACTCCATGAACTTTACTTGCTTTAACCCATGCCTTTGGAAAACAATGTATTCATCTTTTTTAAAAAAGCATTGTAGCACTAGTTTTCCTTTACACATTATCATATTGATGTTATTTTAAATAAAAGGAAAATTTCCAGAGAACTATTAATAAACATTGGTAATTTGATACTCTTATATCCTTCTTATCCTTCCTATCTCCAAAAGCTCTGTGATTATTTTATGTATTATGAATGGAATAGTTATCATTCATTAGATTCCTAGTGCTATTGTAAATCAGTGGGATTAACTGCATTTTATGTTACAGCTGGTGATTTTGCATTCCTGACTCCTCCTGTGATTAGTGCCCTCTCAAGGATTCTTGGAATATTGAAACTCTGTGTTTTGTACATGTGGACCTTCTGAGAGAAAAAGATTACAAACCTGGAATTTAAAATAGAGTCCCCTTTAATCTGTGGTATGCAAAACAAACAGCAGGGATATGCTGCTCTGAACACTTTGGTTGATCTCTCCTTTAGGAAAAAAAATTTTCCGCATGGTGACACAAGGATGGTATTTCAAGCCCAGGCCAAGTGTGTGTCTCCAGTCCATTGGTTAAACCTCTCCTCTTAGCAAATATTTCTGTTCAACCATTGCCAAGGTGAGGCAAATGGATGCTTTTGGGGTGCTGCTATAGCAAAACGTCCAAAGGATATAACGGAATTCAGTCCTTTGGCAAATATTCATTAAGAGGTGAACTGCCACTTTATAGGGATACTCTAATTCATGTAAAATAAATTTGACAATTGGGTATTTGAGTTTAGTGGAGTTATGTCTGTATTTTAGCAGTGTAAATGATATAAGAATTTTCATCATAAATAGTGTGCCATGCCAAATATATAAAAATAATTTGAAATTCCGTATGAGTGTGGAGAATATTTTTAGTTCAATTTTCAGCAGTGCAATACAGCCTAAAACCCTAATTTTCAACCTATTTCTCCTGTGATATAAAAAGAAATAATTCATCCAAAAAAGAAATGCTGCATAGTCAGGACTGAAGATGGAGTCTTTTCCTTATCTAACTTTGAATACATTTTAAAATAATTTTGCTTGAAAACAAGTAAAAGCAGCAAGAGTAGCAGCTACTTCATGAAACCTTAAAGACCGGTGTTTTCTTTTGTACCAAAATAGGCTTTGTTAAAATATAATTATTATTGCCATATTCACAGATGCTTTTTGAGTGAACAGTTTTTATAGAATGAAATCATCCCCTGATGCTTTGGCAAGACTCAGCTGAGACTAATGATTTTAGAAGTTAGACATACATTAATGTATTATAAAATACCTTTTTTAAAAAAATCCTTTTAAAAATTAATCTCCAATTATCAGGGCTCAGTGTAAAGAATTTTCTCTCTTCTGCATCTGATCTAACTAACCTCTTGAGGTTATTGTGCAGTAGCTTTTTAGGTGCATGGAAAGTTGAAAAGCAACACCAGCTCTGTTACAAGCATAGGTGTTCTGTGCTTCTGCCACCCCTAAGATTTGTGTTAGATAATAATACACATGTAAGTGGATAAAACGAAAATTCAGTTGAAGAGGATCAAAAATACTACATGACTGAATTATCTTGGGCTAAATTGTTGGGGATTATGCAGGGCTAGAAATATGAAGTATATATTTGACAGTCTGAACACTGCACTTAAGACTAATGGAATCTATCAAGTCTATTTAAAGAGGTGCTTTTTAAGTCCTCACAGTAATTTTAATGTAAGCTTGTCCCTGAGAACTCAATTATAAATAGCAATAGTCAGTATTGGTATCTGATGTAATTAGAAGCTGAGTTCAAGTAGATTTGAGATGTTTGAGATATTTGGGGAGAATCTTTCCACCTCAAGGATAAATGGAAGGGTTTTTTGAGGGAAACTACATAATCTCCACCACTGAAGCTTTTCAAGAGAAGTGAAACACCAAAACTTTTCAAGTTTAGAGCACTCTGCCACCACCTCCAGGCTACCTGAGCAGGGACCTTACCACAAGAATAATTCACATTGTCTTGCTTTGTTCTTTTTACATTCTTAAGCAGAGATCCTGGTTATTTACATTTATATTACAAATTTGCATCACAGGGATGAAAACATGGCAGTATTTATTTCCCTGTTTTCACACACTACATAGACCCTTTAAAGGTAATTGTTGTTTGGAAAAACTGCACTGTGACACTTTTAGAATTCAGTCCTTAGTACTAGAATTACTGTATCAGCTGTGAAAAAAGGTGAACTTTAAAACAAACATTGCCAAACTGGACATTTTAGTTTGCTCACCTCATATAAGTGAACTTGCTCATTTGTTACAGCAAAAATTAAAAGAACATTGTTTTGCACGAGTTTGTCAATTAATTGTCCAATTGTTGGATACTCCTGCAAACAAACAAAAGAGAGGCAGATAAATCAGTTTCTTATGTGCTTTCAGTTCTTGTCTCCCATGAAAGACACATTCAAGTGATCATAATGAACACTTTGTTCTCTGTGTAGTATAAACTTTAATTAGGAATACACGTATACAAAATAAAAAATAGCACATATAATTTCCTCATGTTGTTTTTAAAGAAATCCCTCTGTGAAAGTACAGAGCCAGATTCCATAGTGGGGGCTTTGGCTCAGTAGCATCTGTGTTATATATACATATTTAATCCAAAGAGCTACACTGCACCAGAGCAAAGGTATTTGTCCTACAATGAACACCATAGTGTGTACATTCAGTGTTTTTGAACACTGAATCTTAAACTGGTAAGTTCTCATACAGGAACAGTGTCCTCCAAATTCCTGAACTGGTCCTGAATTCACACCCTTTCAGGGAACATAATTAATGCAAATTTCGCCTTCCCTGCAGAAGGAAATACTATTAGTGTAATTACTCTAATAATACTACTAGTCTAACTCCATGTGCTTTCCTGTTGTAGAAATTGTATTTTTTCTTTTTTTTTTCTTAGTTATAATCTATCCTGATTCAATATAAACACACTGTTCTCTCTTTACTGAAACATCCAGTTACAAATAAAATAGATTACATTAAATATCTGGATTCCCTGGCTTTTACACATTTCAGTGCTAAAAGTGTAATTCACTATTTTTCTAAGTTGTTTGTGTTAGTCTTTACATTTCCAGAATATGAGAGCGTACAAAATTTGTAGATAATTACCTGAACAGTTGACATGGAATATTCATTATTGTGGTCCAAATGACAGTTCCCATCATTAGGAATAACAATCCCTGCCAGTTTACTGTCCATCCCAAAATGGGAATCAGCATCACTCACAAACACCAGCAAATGTAGAGAATCATTCCTCCAGCCAATTTTTTCCTGTAATTTAAAACACATTAGTTTAGCAAGCCATATTGCATCACAACATAGAAAATCAGCAAAATATTTGGAGAATGGCATCTCAAAATGAATGAGTTGTATCATTCTCAAGGAATTATCACAGGCAACACATCTCCTAAAAGATAATGTTCATTCCATTGTCTTTGGCTAACATTTTGTTTCCCCATCCCTATGTTTAATAACACGAGTTGGCCATGTTCATGTCAATCTGCTTACTACTCTAAACATAGTTAATAAAAAATATTTAAACGGAAAAACAGACACTAATTATACTGATATTTGGGCTTATTTGTCCATGGCAATTAAAAGGAAACTTAGACAAAAATATTGCAATATGCATGTTTTACTTGTACAGCCAAAAGTATTTTCACACAAATTTAATGAGGCTCTTGGTTTGTGTTAAAATTTTTTGAAAAAGAATCTGTCGTTTTGAAATACCAACATATAAAACTAGAAGAGATAATATATGAAATAATATTATACCTAGGAATCTCAATTACCTTGCAAACTGCTGCCTGCATGATTGCATCAAATCCTCCCTCTGGAGTGTCTATATTAGCAGAAATTCGCTGTCCTTTCACAATTTCATTGAATTTTTTAGCATCATTTGTTAGGGGCAAAACATTTTTATATCCAAAGGTGGGTAAGCACTCGTATGGTACGCTTCTGCAAGAAAAATGAAACAACTTATGGATAAAAGAGAGTGAAAAATCACTGGAATGGCTGCTTCAGAGGGCTGCCTGGATTAGTTTTGGTCTTGTCTCCTGTCTGTGCCTGAGCAGAATTAGTGAAAAACCTAAGATAATTAAAGAGCATTCAGTCTCTTGGGCAATGGAAAAAATCTGCAGAAAGGTTGGGAAATGCCTCCTAGAGCAGAGTAATTCTGTCAGTTACCAACGTGCAGCCCTTGCCATGCCTCCTGCTGTGCCTTGATCTCATATTTAGAATCATATTGGGATCTGTAGCTCCTTAATGGCACTCAGAGACAACCACCAGCTGCAGTCCTGCTCCAGGTTGCAGAGTCCAGCTTCTCCCCTGCACAGGTTAGCTGGGAGCTAGGGCAGCCAGAGGCTGGGGAGATTGATAGACCTTAAGGGGGAAAAAAAGCAGGAGAACAGCACTGATGGCTAAATGAAACTGGTATTCTCTGTTGGGTTTGAGTTTGCAACTCCTTAGTATAATTCATAAAATTATTTTAGATATATATATTCACTAGAAAATGAAAGAAATTAAAGAAAAAATACAAAACTACATGCCACATACCTTTTTGTTAACATATTGAGCACATTTGTAACGAGCAGCAAACGCTATAAAGCAGACTCACTCACTCCCAGATTCCTCTATCCTAATAACTTAAGATTCAACAGAATGATGATCAGAAGGTGAAAAAGAGAACCAAACTCTTGTTCCACAAACGGACTCATTTGCAGCTGGAAGAGGGGAGAGTTTCCAGGGAAGCCGCTGAAATTAATTTTAGCCTAAAGATTATGATAGTGTTGGCATGCAAACAGATGTTGGGACTTCCCCTGCCTACCTGCAAGGGTTCTTTATTTCTGCAGCTGTAGTTTTGATAAATGGTGAAACTGGTTTTTCAACAAAAGATCCAAACCCCAGTCTAAAGTTGCTTGTCAGTTTTGACATCTCTTTGGAAAGTGTTGAACCCAGTTCTTTGATTGTATTCAGATCATCATCCATGGAAGCTGAAAGATCCATGAGGTAGTAGAGATCAATTGGATAATCTTCAGTCTGGCGAACCTTGATCTGTATTGTTTCTGCATGTCCTGTTAAGGTCAGGGGAAAGTGGAACACATATCATCACTTCTGTGCAGAAAACATGAGCAATGCCAATTTCTGCATAGACCTAATATGGTGACAATTATCTGGTATTTTAAACCACCAGTAGCATTTGCAAAAATATTTCAAAGATTCTCAACAAAAAAATCTCAAATAAGGGTCTAAAAGATTAAAAATAGTTCTAATGTTTGGGGTGTTTTTAAAACAGCTCTTCAGTAACACCATAACCACAGAATTATAACTAATTGCTATAATTTGAAAAAAATATGAAAACATCTCTTCAACAGTATGCAGCTTTAGGAAATTTAGATATGAAGCTAATTACAACTAGAGGTAGCACTTTGGGGTCCTATCATATCCTTTAAAAATTTAAACAAAGTCAGAGTGTACACAGAGATTTTATTCTCAGTTCCAACACTATGACCTGACCTAACTAGATGTCTCTTGCTTTTTTTCATTCCAAATTTTCTCCAGGAAAAATTCAAATCTGAGGGACCCCAAGGTGGGTCTGGAATGCTACCATAAATGTCACTGCTTGCTAGACCAGCAGGGGAGAGGCACAGAGCTTGGCTGGGGAGGAGCCAGGGGCTTTCATTCTCTCCCTGCCACCTCACTGGCAAGAGAAGAGAGGAACTAAACATATATATCCTTTTTTTTATGATGTACCCAGCACTTCTGAAAATATTCTGAACGCAGTTGAACCTAGTTGTCATGTGATGAGTCAACAGATAATTTTGGACTCAACACAGGTTTTCATCTTTATTCTGTCAAGATATTTTTGAGATTGCTCAATCTTAAGAAGCTTCAGTTTATCACACTGTCTGAAATGAACCTATGAGCTGTGACTTACCTGGTCGCAGCCTCAGAGTTAATTTCTGGGGAGAAATCTGTGTGACATCAGAACTGGTCTTCTGGGATGATGCAGTTAGGGGATCATTTCTGTGAATTTCTACTTCTGAAATGGGGAACTCAATGAAATTCAGCTGGCATCCTTTGGACAAAAGATTTTCCAGGGTATCACACCTCCCATGAATTCCAGATGAGTCTGTGTAATTCTAATGCAATTGGGAGAAGGAAGGGATGAGTTAAATGTTTTTGCTGACTAGCCACATGCACCTGCCCACAAAAGGTCAGTCCAACTCAGGGAATAGAAACAAAGGTCCAAGTTTGTGCAAATTAGTGCAGAACTAGATATAGGTGGCACAGAAACCCAAATTTGCCCTTCATGGGTCATGTCACACAGGTGTATAATTAATGTAACTTACACCGACTTGTTATCCTGGGAGAAACTGCTCTATTGTTGGGGAATGGGAATTGTGCCACTCACTGCATTTGGCTTCTCACAGCACTGGGAATGATAACACAAAACCCCTCTGAGCCACTGGTTTTTCTGTCACAGAATTGTGCCACACATGCATCAGTCTTTCCTATACAGTTTAGAACTGCTGATTGAAGCACGCTATTTAATAAAATAAGAGGTCTTGCTGATAATAAACTCCTGGACTACTCGTGACAAACAGATTGTGGATACCCAGTGTTTACTGTTTCTTTTTTTCTGACCTACACTTTCTCCTCATTTAAGCTGTTCACTGAAGCAGGCATCAAGTCCTTGTTCCTCTGCCTGGTGCCCAGCAATGACCACAGCCTGTCCCCAGTGTTCCTCAGCACCAGTGGTGCTCCCGGCATCCCACATCTAAATTCAGCCCAGCATCTTCCTTGACCTTCTACCAGACAGAGGAAATCAAAAGCCTATAAATATCAATTGTATATCTCAAAGTTTATTGTCATTACTCAGTTCAAAGCATTGATATGCATTCCTTTCCACAGCACTGCTACAGGGTAGGTACTAACCTCACATGGTGCTGAAGTTAATGGTTACTTTTACAAAGAGGTTTCTGTGCCTTATTACCTTATTTCTGTGCCTTATTTCCCAGAGTTTTGTCTAGAGTCAAGATTCTCAAGATCAGTCAGCTGTCTCCTGGAAACTGCTCTGGCCTGCAAGACCTTTTGACCAAAGCCTGGGCAATGTCTGGCAGAATCAGATCTGAAACATTAAATTTCTGGTGGATAGTCATGGGCCCATACCATGCATCTGCTCTTTTCTCCTAGGTCTGGGCAAGCAACCCATGGATCAGCCATTAAGCCACAAATATTCTCTGAATTCAGTTGCTGAAAAACTTTCCATGCAAAACAAAACAAATTTACTTTAAACCTACTAAAAACAGACCTATGACCCTTTTTTTCCCACCAAAATATCACCCTTCATGCCTGAAAATTTTCAGGCATCTTATATATTTTGGTGGAAGTGTTGAGGCACCTGTTGGGAACAGTGGTTTATTATTCTCCAGCCTGAACCAGATGCCTTTGCTCAGGCAAAACTCACCCACTGCTTCTTGAATACAGCACACATAAATTACACGTACCATTATAAACCTTTCACAGGGAGATCCATATCGTCTCCTTTAGTTACACAGTTTGTAACTTTTCAAAATGTGTGAAGAGACAACCTCATATTTCAAATACAATTACAAAGTGTGTTCTTATCCTACAGAAAACAGTGGTTTCCTTAGAGGTGCTTTTGTATGCTTGGATACTAAAGCTCCTATGCCTTTTGCATGCTTTATGTGCTGTTTTCTAACAAAGAAATGAATGAGCTTATGAACAAAGAAGAAAAAGCATGTTTACTACAGTGAACTTTTCAATAGTTCCACAGGGTTTTTTTTTGGTTTGGTTTTGGGTTTTTTTGAATCAATAAATTATATTGGGCTCTTTTTTCTCTGAAAATACATGGCAGTAGTCAAAATTATGGGATCCAATTTCAACAAAATCCTGTTTTATAGTACAGATATAAAAACAACTGCAAACACACTAATGTGGGGTCTTTTTGACCTCAATGGTTAATATATTTTGCAAATTGCAAAATATATATTTTTAGAATTTTTAAATGAAATGCAGTTTTTTCTTTCTGAGCTATTTCATAAAGAGTGTTTTAGTCCCATACTGTGTCATTTTGCTATACACAAAAACAATAAAAGCTGTTAGCAGCAAAGGTGCAATCCAGAAACAAAAATGAAAAATACTTTATTTCTCTAGCATTTCTGTCAAGTTTCTGTTGCAATAGCTGACTATCTTGTTAATGATGATGAACTAAGAGCTAGAATATTTATTGTGAAGTGGGGAGATTTTATTTAGCACCATTTACAGAAGAAAGTTTTAAAAGCAGAAATGTGAAGTCACTTCCCCAGGGTTGCACTGAAAATCTGAAACAAAGCCATAAGAAACAAATCCAGATATACTTTTTAAGTTAAATGCTTTAGCCAAAACATATCTATATCATATGAATTATAAATCCGACATTATTGTCATACTTAAAATTAATCACAGTTTTATAATTTCTATATGGAAGTTCTACATCTGCAAACTTTTATACTCTTGATACCTGCAAACCTTCTGCTTGCACTGTCTGGCTTGGCATGTAATCTGTCAGATACAGTTTGGCCTCTGACTTTGTGTCTGGTGCTTCATCATCAGTGCTGGGGGTGAGTCAGCCCTTGAGCTGACGACCTGAGACCCCCTAATAACATTTCTATTTCTGCCTTAGATTTGAAAGGTTGATGTTTTCGTGGGTTTTTTCAAACAAGAAAACAAACAAATAAACAATCATCCTAACAACCATACTGTGAATAACAGACCATGGAGAGTAGATTAAATTCCACTTCTGCTCCCCAAGAAGGCTTCACTAAGCACTGCATGCATTACAAAACCCTGGGCTGACCCAATTAAGTCAATACTTCATCACTTGGAGTGACTACAAAGACTTAAGTCTTACTTTGAATTTTTTTTTTTTATCACTCTACCTCTTGCAAACACCAAGCGCAGTGTGGTCCGGAAAGCAAACAATCTTCACAAGTCACTGTGCTTTCCTGAGAACAGGTCCCTGAATTTAAATCCAAGAAGATAAAAGACTGTTAATAATATGCTGAATCATTCAATTTATGAAGAAACATGCCATCTAGAGAATGTGGGTGGTGAAAAATACACATATATAGCCATATTTAGGATTACTGATAAAATTTCTTCTTAACAGTAGTTCTATTGGTAAAAGATTAACTCTACAATAAAGATTAAAGCCTTAGAATTGCTGGCAATTAACATACCTCCTTTTGCATGCTTTATGGGTGGCATTCACTTAGAACATGTTACCTTGTTCCCTCCAGTGCACCTGAGAGAGTGTTACATGTATTTCTGGTATGGTGTAGGTAAGTCATTTCCCACATAACCAGGGATATTAAAAGAACAGATTTATGCTCACTCTCTATGCTTAATATTGCTTCACTCAGCTCCGTAGATGCTTGATATGATTTTTCTCCATTGTGTAACTACCAGAGAAATACTCAGCCATATGTATAATATGAAAGATTCTTAACAGATCAAACTGTGATTAGTGAAAATGAAATTGCTCAAATGTCTATCTCTTTCAAACCTGTTGCGCTATATAATGACCACCAAATTGTAGATGAATTGGCAATGCAGCCCTACAGCAGTCTATCCAAAAAAGGTCATTAAATAGAAAGATTAAATACAGAAGGCAGAGAGCTATTTCGTGTCAACTTCAAGCAAGAAACAATGCAAAATGATTTTGAAATTGATCTCCCTGCCCCTGAGCCTTACCTTGCACATAGTTATTTCTTAGCAGGAATAGGAAACAGAGGCAAAGCAATTCAATCCCCATTCGTTTTCAGTGCTGGCTGCATGACAAAAAAATATTAGCTTGTTAATTATCGTCTGCATGAAGGTAGAATGTCGTAAAAAGCATGCATTCCCGAAGGGTATGTTTTGGGATGTCACGTACACCGGATCGCGAGGAAGCTGCAACCCAGCGGGACGGACCATGAACAAAAGTGAAAACAAGGGCTACCTGGGCAGGTAGAGAGGACAAGCTGTGCACACAGTAACGTGAACATGGTTATCACTTCCTTGTTTTCCTGGGCTCCTTATAAGGCATACGGGGAAAATTCATTCAGGTGAAGATTCCTGTCAGTCCCAGTCACTCTGGGTCCTAGAGCAACCCAGCCAAGAGACCGTGTTTGCACTGTACAACAGCCCTTCTAAAGCTCCTTCAAAAGAACACCTTTAATTGTGCCCCGAGGGAAAATGGATCATTAAGATTGCCGAGTATATACCTGGAGAGAAGAAAAAAATCCCACTTTTTCAGATTTCCTGATGTGGAGGGAAACTCATAAAGGCAACTGTGAAGGGAAAAAACCCAAACTAATCGCAGATTAAAATTTAGGACTTTGCTTCAGTACTGCAAGATACCAAGTACATTGATTTTTTTTTTTTTACATTCCAAACGGAAAGGAAAATGCTGGAGTTGTAGATTCTTTTAATATATAGAAGGAGGAATAATTTTATTCCCAGTACAGCAACTGACTTGAAAAAAGAATCATGTAGCCTTAACTCTGCCTAATAAGCAGCTGAATATTCTACAGCACAGAAACAATTGCATAACAAGTTATTGCTATCTCTCATCCACCTTCCCAACCTGAAATGAAGGCAAAATATGTATTTCTTACCACCTTATTAAAAGAAAATAAAATTCCTTATTTCCAGATTTTATGTCTTCCCATCTTTTATACTCTGTTATTGCCTGTTTTAAAAAACATTTTTTCAAGACGAGTCCTGTCTTTTCATAAAGATTTGCAATAGTCAAAGTAGGGATGGGTCTGTATTAGTTAAATTCAACATGCCCAAAACATTCCTGGGCACTGGGGCCAACTGGCACAGAAAGACCTGAGTTTATGATTGCAAAGTACCTATTGGGCCAATTCTAGCAACCAAATTGTGCCCAGAAATTGTTTGCAGTGAGCATTGATTGGAAGAGGTCAAATTCATGCCAGGGAGCTTTTTAACAGTCTAATAGCACAGACAATCTCATTCTAGTGCTTGGAAATATTCCCAGGCACATCCAATTTTACTAGTGTTTACACAGACTATGGGTAATTTCAATAGCAACTCACCCTGGATTACATCAGGACTACCTTTGCTCTGCCCTTGTGTTCCCACCCTCTTTATTACTCATCGTTCATGCCCAAACACGCCGCGTTTCAAACTGATCCAACCAAACCCAATCACCTTCTGTGGGAAAGGTGGAGGGCTGGTTTTCATCTGGTTTTGTCCCTTAAACCCTGTGGCTGCCCAGTCCAGAGTTCAAGGCAGAACTGACAGGAAAGGTGAGAATTTGTTAGGCCAAATTTAGCCCAGTTTAGGCTGTTGCCAAACCGTATCTTAACATTTCTATTTACAACATTCCTAAATCTCCTTCAACTGCTCTCTATGCCTCAGAGTGCCCTTTGTAAGGCACTTGCTCAGCTACAGTGATTTTCTGTGGCATGAAAAAAACATCGATTAGATTATGTTCCCTCAGTTGGTGAAGACACAACTCTATGAGAACACTCTATGTAATTACATAAGGTCAAAAAGAAGTGGAATAAACCAAAAGTGTTTGCTCTTGCTAAGAGAAACATCCCCCTGTAATATGCTACTCAAATATCCTACTTCCCTGGCTCTGACTGACATTTCTCTATGTGTCCTTCAAGATTGTTACTATGTCCACAGCCTTGCAGACCCCCAAAACCCAGTGCTTTCTCTTTCAGTGTAGGTCACCTTGTAGCTCTGATGGGCTACTGGCCCCTGGGAACAGCAACACTTCAAAGCACAGGGCTTGGTGGCAGCGCTGCAGCCACCACAAGATAGCAACACCTGCAGGGTCTCAAACTAAGGACCAGTCAGCTGAACAGCTGGCAATTAGCAAATGCTTATTCTTGGATTGAAGATATCAAACTTTGAAGTGTAGAGAGAATTAGTAATATATCCTATATAAAACTTACAAATTCTATTTGATATTATCAGTTCTCCATTTGCTTGTGAGGTTAATATTTTGCATAGGTCTTGGCAAGAATAGCATGGCCGGAAGCTAAGTGCCTGCCTCTGAGTGAGGTGACTGCCAGACTATCTGAATTAAGCCTTTGCTGAATAAAATAGCTAAGTTTCTGCAAATTATTAGGAATATATTAGATTATTAATAGATCTATTAGATCACCGTGGATTGTCTGGAGAAAGCAGCGAAGGAAAAGAAAGTAGGAGAATAAACAACAACAGAAACAGACAAGGAAAAAAAAATTGAGAGCAGGAGCCTAAGAGAGGTCCTGAAAGAGAGACAGTGTGCACCAAGAGTAAACCTTGGGCAAGGTAAGAATACCTAAACAGGAAGCAGACATATGATTCTTGTTTTGAAACACCACCTGTGCAAACTAAAGGTAAGTTGACCAGGAAGTTCCTCTACTAGATAAATGCTTTATTTGCTTTAATCATCACTAGAAGAGTAGAATCTCAATCTGGAGTAGCCATGCTGATGTGGGAAGGATGTATAAAATGCTCTGGGGTCATGGTATTACTTGATTTGGCAACAGGGTTCCCATTCTTCATAAGGTTTTTAATACAGTCTCGCATCACCCACCCAAATTAAAAGCATTGATTCTATGAGATAGAACAAAAAGGAAGTTTACAGTAGAGAAAGAACACAATTATGATTGTTTCCGTCAGCCACTATATTATTTTGGAGGAAATTCTGGTCTCTATTAAATCAGAGTTAGAGTTTTTAAATGACACATCAGAAAAGAAAACAGTTTATCATTCAGTGTAGGCAGTGCTGAACAATGCAAGTCTTCCCTCCATTCCGGGCACAAATATAGCCCTGACCTCTCAGCTTCACACATAAGCCAGCTCTTGATTCCCAGCAATCTAGTTATACACATCCTGAAAGCCTGGAAAAATATGGAACCATTTAAAGTCTGAGTGTCCCCCAGCTGAGATGATTCTCAATATTTACAAAGGTGCAGGGAGACACTTCTTGTGCTTGAGAAAAGCTTTCTCAAGTTTGTGAGGCAGAGTCTCCCTTCTCTCCACCCTATTCCTACTCCTCACTGCATCTGGAAGAGGCAAAGGGCTGCACTCCTTAGGCCAGAGGCATGTTGCTTTGTACTTGAATCATCTGGTGACTTTATTCTCTGTCTGGTTGACTTCCCAGTCAAATCCTCAAAGCTCCTGACGATCTCTAGCAGGGAATGAAAGTAGACTTTAATACTTCAGTCAAACTTTTTAACCTGAAAGGAAGTAAGTGAAGATTCTACAAAAGTCTACGGATTAAAACACTTCTCTCACAAAGAAGACAAATGTTCCATAGCTGCATAGTCAAGTGCTTCCATACTCTTGGGCCAGCAGAAGTGGAAAGCATTTTTCCTTGGAAAATCTGCACAGAAATATATGCCCCAGCAGTCTGATAAGACCCAGTTCCAAAGTACAGCAATGGCAAATGTTTCAGAGGATGCCTGTGAGTTAGCTGAACAATGAAGGCTGAAAAAAGTCTCTAAGCTTGAAATTTTGGTTCATCTTTAGGGAGCTAGAGATGATGTGAATATCCACACAGTGGTGTGAGAGTTCTGCACACAGGTCAGTCCAGCACAGACAGAAACCACACACAAATACTGCACAGACACTGCAAGGACTGTCTTGTCTCTGTCTCTGCTGCAGTACAGATCTGACAATGCTTTAGGGAGAGCTGGCAAAAACATTTCAAGAGGAAGCAACAATCCCTAACAAACAGTTGTATTTAATGGGGAAATTCACAGTGAAGGTGAAAGTAACAAATCAGCAAAATCTGAAACTTTTGCTTCTTTAATTATTTTGCTGCCTTTTTTTTTTTTTTTTTCAGTTGATACATCTGCTCTCTCTTTCTTTATTAATCATCATGGTGGGACATGGGTATTGCTCCAACAGAAAATTACATACATTCAAAGAAACTGCTGTAAGCTTTTGAGTCCTCTATGGGTGACCTGGAGCTTGCTGAAAGGAAAGTTCTGAACATACTGTGATGGAGCTGGTTCATTCCAGCTCCTGTGTTTTGGGGTGTGCTAATACCATATTCCATTAGGGGCCTATGACCAAAACACTGCCACAGAGCCCAGGGAGATTTGGTCTCTCCTAACCTCCAGGTGCTGTTTGCCAGCATGGCTACACACGATGGAGTGCAGTTTTGGAAGAAGAGTGGGGGTGTTTTTAGCCTCTTCTGGAGGGTCACAGGAGATGGAGAATCACACAGAAGAGAGGAATTTTCCCCTCCAGCTCTGAGCAAAACAAGGTGTTGGGAATCGGTGACTCAGGTTGTGATTCATGCTCTGGTCTCCTCTTGTTTCCGGAACAGTGTTAGAGGAGGGCAGGGAATGAAGTCAATAGCCTGTCCCTGAACAAGCAGAGGGGCAGAGAAGGAAGGAGGGGCTGCTCTCCAACTGTACAGTGAGCAGCAGGCAGGAAACTCAGGGTGTTTTCAACTTGTATTCACCTTGCCCACAGCTCTGACCTGTCTGTCTCCAGCCAAGGGCATGAAGAAACCTTTGTTCTCAGTTTTTTGGCATGGGTGAGCAACGTGAAAGATTTGTTTGGTTTTCAGATTTGAAAACACTCTCACACTCAAAGATAAATAATCAGATCTCTGAACTGCAGAAGGGCTCAGGTGGAACTTGTAGGAAAATGGAGTGGGACTGCCAACTAGCCCACAACACCCTAATTATGCCAGGGACTTGCACACATCCCATCAAAACTCACCTTGGTTTATGTGTGCTTTTCTTAGTTACATAGCACCCCTTGCTTTCCCTACACTATAAGAATGTGGGGCAGAGACAGCAGAGCA